TCCAGGCCAGCTGGAGGTCAGACAGCCTCTGCCGGCTCCCACTCAGGCCTGGAGGCCCACAGAGCAGCCCATTCATCCCATAGCTGGACAGCCCCGCACAGCGATCCCACAGCCAGCAAGAGGCTGACTCACGACTCCAACTTGCCTGAGTTCCAGTCCCTGTTTTGTCACTACATTCCTTGGCCTAGAGTGACTTTGGCCAAGTTCCTTCTGTTCTCTAGGCCTTGATTCCTCATCTGCAAAGCCAGAGATGGAACCAGATGTTCCAAATCATTACATGAAATCATTACATGACACTGAGGCAGCTGCTAACTCCCAGACAAGCTCCCCACATAAAGTAGGTGTAACAGGTACGAATTTGACTCCAAAATACATGCTTACCTTTGCCAACTAAAGACTGTCACTCGCCATCTGGCACTACAAGGATGGCGTCACTAGCCACTGAAGTCGCTGACCTTCAACACACCCTGAAAGGAGTTCAGGGTGGAGCTCAGGAATGAGGCACTCTGTGCTCTGGGAAAATTGACAGAACAAGCCTTCAGATAAATATTTTTCGGGAAAGATTTTATGAGCCCTATTTCTTGCATCTTCTCATGTCTAGAAAAGCACTAAGATCATTCATGGAGACACCTGCTCCTCGTGACAAGCAGCAAGTCTCTGCCAAAATGTGTGCTTCACTGCACGTACCCCCTTCACCAAAATCACGTATATGCTGACCTCCTCCCCCCACACGCCTCTTCGGCAAAATTCCTCAGAGCTCTCTGAGAGGCTGTCTCCCAGGCTGTAGCCCTCACTTTGCCCCCAATAAAACTTAACTCACAGCTCTCACATCGTGCTTTTTTTCTTCAGTCGACAGCTTTATATAAAACTCATATAGCACTTACCATGAACCGAAGCACCCTACACATATTAACTCATTTGGTTCTGTTATTATCCCCTATTTAAATATGGGGAAAGTAAGGCACAGACAGAGTAAGTAACTTGTCAAGGTCACACAGCTAGTAGATGGCCAAGCTGGGGTTTAAACCCAGGCCATCGGGCTCCAGCACTGCATTCTTAAGTGCTATGTTCTGCTCATTTTCATTTTGTAAGCCATGTCATATACCTTTATCTTTAACTCAAGTTCAATTTTCTCTCCCCTCCAGACCAGAGAGAACTTATATCCCACTCTTTTCACTCCTCCATAGAATCCTTTGAGATTTCCAGACTATTGTGGTGTCAGAAGAAAAAATGAAGGGAGGGTGTGTTTGTGCAGGCACTGTGGTGTCACCATCAGATCCCCCAGCCGCAAGATGACACACCAGTGCCCTCTGTCTCTGGGCAGGTCACAGAGGTGCCCCTCCCAAGGCCTGGGCCGGAGCAAGGACCAGTCCTAGGGGATCACACCAGCTCCTCTGAAGGCCACATGCTCAGTGATCAGACTACAGTACCCACCGACCTCTGGTCAGAAGTTCTGCCCCATCCTGCAGACGTGACAGGAGGAGAACGAGCCTCAGGGTGGACCACCCCTCTTTCCCCAGAGAGAGCTTCCTCCTCCCTTCCATCCTGCTACTTACTCTTTCTGCCTATCTCCCCTTTTAACTTCATTTAACTTCGCCTTCCAAACACCAGCAGGGGTGGGAGCTTCCTTCAGTGTAGTTCTAGAACACCACAAAGCTTTTAACTACCACCCTCCTCCTGGCCTAGAGTATTACCTTTCCATTCCTTCTTTCCTGCCCTGTGAGAACAGGAAGGAAATTAACATTTCCAAACATCACACACACACCCCTATCTCTGCAAGGTGCTTGGCAAACCGTTGGAATAACAATGGTAACTTAAAGACAGAAGTTGTTATCAAATTAAAGTTAAATCTGCCTTCTTCCCGTTTAACCTTTGTCCTTGTTCTACTCTGAAAGTTCACCATAGAGTGAGTCTAGTCCTTTGTTTTCATGAAAAACTAAAGAGTCTTGAGGTGGTTCCTTCTGCCCCCACCAAAGTCTTGACTCTCCAGCACAAACAACCCTCCAAAGTATCTGTCTACGCTCCTTCTTCCCACCAAAATGGAGGGTTGGAAGCTAGCAGCCATGACCTTCACTCAGTGTCCAAATGCCCCCCCTACCCCATTTCTACAGCTTCTGGGTTTTTTTTTAATGTACTTCCTTCCTCTTAACGTCTTTCATCTCTTGTATCCTTCTGATGTTTTAGCCTCTCTTTCCTTTTTTCTCCTCCATTCTCCACAGTCTAACATTTCACCCACCTACTCAAAGATCCCCGTCGTCCACAGGATAAATCCCATGCTCTCGACAATGGTATCCAAGCCCCCACCCGACCCGGAGACCTGCTCTTTGTTCTCCTTTTCTGGGCATTATTAGTGCATTAGTAGTGCTGGTGTCCAGATTTCCACGTCTTTGTCCTAAACTCATGCTGGATTACACTTCCATACTCCCTCAAAATTCAGTGTGGCCATGTGGCTTGTTCACACCGCTGAAATGTAGGTAGCAGTGACACAGGTCACTCCTGGCAAATGCTTTGCTTATGTCAACTGAAAAAAAAAAAGCACAGCCTAAAAGTTGAGAATTCTGTTTTATTTGGCAGACTTTCTGAGGACTTCAAACCCAGGAGGCAGCCTCTCAGATGGCTCAGGGGGACCACTCTGGAGAGGTACAGGAGGAGCCAGGACATACAGGAGTTTTTGCAACAAAAGCCAGGTAGTTGGAACATCAAAGGATTACTGTTAATGAAAGGAAGCCAAACATCTCAAGTTAAGGAATTTTGTGCTTTTTGATGTCCGGGAAGATGCAAGAGTCTGGACTCATTGAATTCATTCCTTTGATCTGCGTCTTAGCTATCTAGGGCAAGTATGCTGTTTTTTCACCTCCTGAGTCCCCTCTAGGTGCACCACTGGGGGCTGGCTGCAGTAGCTGAGGGCTCTATGGTGGCAACCTATTTCCATCCTGAGTTCCCTCAAGACTCACCACTGCGGGCAGCTGGAATGTGATGGCTGGATGGCTGCAGCATCCTTTGTTTACTGATATGGCAGGCAACACTTTTCATTTGTGATAGTCAGCACATGAATTGGCACACGCCCTTCCTCCTGCCACAGCAAACAGTGACCTAGCAGACGGTGACGTCTCCATCGGTCTGCATCCCCGAGAGAAGATGTCTCCAATCAGAGCCCCAGACAACTTATGATGGACAGACAGAGAGAGTAAGAGAAAAAAAGTTATTATTTTTAAATTGGGCATTGCTTGTTACTGCCCATATTGCCCAGACTAATATAATGTATCCCATAGGGCTAAGCTTGCCAGGTGACTGACAATCCCTGGAGTCCAGTACAATGCCAGTGCCGCCCTCTTTGATGGGCATTCCCTCCTCCCCACACCCACTCAGCAAAGTCCTTTTATCCATCGAGACACAGCTCAGTTGCCACCTCCACCAGGAAGCCTTCCTAACTTTCCACCCAAGGCAACATTAGGCATCCGCTTCCCAGGACGCCAGGAGCATGTCTCCGTTACAGCCTGGTCACATTTCTTTTCTGAAGTTTTGTTTCCTAAACCACAAGGCCCCTGCGAGCCCATTCAGAAAAAGCTGGCCCTCCAGATGGACAAGCTCCCAAGGGGACTGGCTCGTGGCAAAAGATCACGAACTAGGCTTCAGGCTACCTTCCCCCTGGGCCCAGCCTCTGTGCTCTCAGCACAGTCCACACGCTGTCCCTGCCCTCCAGCCTCCACCGAGGATTTTCTGGATTTGGCTCAGAGCCCTGTGAAGAAGGGTTCACTGAAAGAATGAATATTTCCCAATAGATGAGATCCTTTCCCAGTTACCCCCTCCATCCCCAACACTCTCGTCTCCTCTGCATCACTTCCTGGTCCCCCAAGCCCAGGACTAAAGAGCAGCTGGAATTTGCAGTCAGACAGACCTGGATTCAAATGTTGGCTCTACCACTCACAGGCCCTGTGTGCCCCAGGGAGATGCTTAACCGCTCTCAACCTCAGTTTCCTCACCTGTAAACTGGGGACACTATCAAGCTCTCAGGTGCCCACGTAAAGCACACGGGAAATGCAGTCAGTGTCTATGGGCTCCTCGAACGGATCAGGCTCTGTGCCTGGGAGAATGGAGTGGCCAGGGTAGGCCTCTCTGCGGGAGGGGGTGGTGGGGGGACATATGAAATGACACTAGATGTTGAGAAGGAGCCAGCCATGAAAAGAGCTGGGAGAAGAACATTCCAGATGGGGGAAATAGTCACTGCAAAGGCCCAAGGTAACCAAGCTTAATTAATGGTTACTTTTCCACCTTCAATCTTCTTTCACGGTTGGACCTAGGCCACAGGTCACCAACCATGACCTCATCACACACTTCACTTGTGAGTTACCAGCAGCAAGCCTTCTCTCTCCTCTCCAGAAGGGGAACCCCAGAGCTGTCGTGGGGCTGAGTCGGCTCTGGGACCGGGGGCTGTGTAGACGAGACGGTTATCACCAGGGGCATCAGGTGCCAGGGGTACCAGCAGTGACTCTGACCCCCTCCGTTTGCTCGTCCTCCTTGGTGGAATCCCCAGGGCACTGAGAGAGCCAAGAGGCAAGTAAACGCTCTTGTCTAACCTTCCCCTGTGTGATCACGGTGTCCCCAGACCACACTGCTCTCTGGGCAAAATCTGTTTCCTCCATTCCTTCTCGAGAGGTGGCCACGGGGACCAGAATCAGCACCTGACCCTGAAGCCTGGTGGCTGGAACTCAACTCACAGTCAGTTGGTACCCAGGGATGCCTAGCCTCGCCCCGTGCATCTGTCCTTTTTCTCCAACCAGATCCATATAGCAAAGTCCGCATAGAACAGGAGTGGTTTCATCCCCTGTCAAGGCCTTCGAAGCTCCAAGGTCTTTCTGAGCAGCAAAGAGGGAACAAATCCCTTGAATCCGAGCTTGCCTGAGCACGCCCAGCCTCGCTCAGCCAGGTGTTCCCTGAAGAAAGAGTAAGACGTTGCATCTAAGTTGCCAAAGGGCTGAGCAGAAAATGCTCCTCGCTGTGAACGCAGTTCAATGTTATCCAATCTCACGAGGGTCTGTGTTGTGTGAACGAGAAGCGGGAGCCCGAGGGCCGCTGAGCGGGGCATGAGTTCGGCGTTATTTGTACGACTGCCTGCCGGTGCCACTCCAGCTGGGAGCGCCCCCACTCTGCCCGGCACCCAGCAGAGTCAGCTCCCAGGATTGCTTTTCTCCTGCTACCATGGCAGGTCTGGTGATAGAAGCGGAGCCAGACTTGAGGAAGCAGGGGAAAGGGCTTCCTCTCTGGCACCTGCAGACTTCTGAGAGCTTCCCAGCAGTGGATTGCAGCTGAGCTGTCTCTGATCTTTCCCTGCTCGGAGCTCTCCCAGCCTGAGAACCAGAGGCCCTGGGTCCCAACGATTCACTAACTTGCCTGCAGCCTTTGGGTAAGTCATACACCCCTGGCTTCAGTTTCCTCATCTCTGGGATTGGGGAGGCTAGACTTGCTCTAGAGCAGCTGTTCCAGACTGAAGGTCAATGCCAATTAGTGGACGAGTGACTGAGAGGTGCCCATTGCCGAGGATGCTGAGGCCACAGCTGGTAGTCAGGGTGCCGTGATTGCCTGACGATGTCCGGCAATGCTGGACTCAGAACGGGGAGTGGCAGACCGGTTGGCACACAGCTGCTGTGAGCCGGAGGACCTTAGGGGCCAGGCCCACTGGAACATTCTGCCACTCAGGTTCTGTGGGATGAGAAGGTTGTAGACTTCAGTAGAAACCCAAGTTAGGCTGATGAATCGCCTCTCCTAAAGGAACTCTGGGTACAAGACATGCCAGGAAGGTTAGATAAATTAGACATTATTTTAAATGCTTTGCATGAGCTTCCGTTTTGCTGTCCAGCTTTTGATGATGCCAACAGCTAGAGTGTAATCAAAGGGCCCCTGGGTGTGGCTGTCCCTCTTCCCGGGGCTCACCAGCAGGGAGTATGGCTCTAGCACCTCCATGTCCACAGCAGGAATTCCAGCAGGAAGATCGTGACCTCCAACAAGTTTTACCGGAAGACCCAGGTGGATCTGGACCTCTGCTAGGTACCATTCTTTTCTCAGTGCTTCTTCCTTCCTGGGTCCTAAGCAAGCTGTCTTCCTCTTGGTTACTTGGTTGTGAATCCCTCCTTCCTTCCCTTCCAAATAACCCCACAGCCTCGCTCCTTGCCTCCCTCCTTACCTAAGCCCTATCCTTCACCTGCAGATGGCAGCCCCCACCCCGGGGAGGGAGATGACCAGTCCATTTTTTCTAAAAATGTCTTCATTCCTTCTACCTCCAGGTCCTGCCCTGGCTCATCAAAGTGTCCAGCTGGATGACCAAGCAGCCCAGAGTGTGGGGCAGGGGGCTGGCGATGGTCAGATCACACGAGAAGAGCTGGAGTAATGCGCAGGTGGGACTCCCACTGCTCAGCCAGTGGGGGCCTGTCCAAGTCTGCTTTTCTTGGGCCCCTCAGGGTATCACTAAAGACAGAAACTTCCAAATGGAAGTTTTTTAAACTTATTACAAAAAGATTTCAAACATAAAAATAAAAAAGAATAGTATCATGAACCCTGTGTTTCATCACCGGCATCAAGAATTACATTACTGTCTTAGTTGGCCCAGGCTGTCATGGACTGGAGGCTAGAAGTCCAGATCAAGGTGCCAGCCAATTGGGTTCCTGGTGAGGACCCTCTTCTTGGCTAGCAGACAGCTCTCTTCTTGCTGTGTCCTCACATGTGGTAGGGGAGGGGGAGGAAGAATGAGAGAGAGGAAGCTCTTCTTCTTTTTTTTTTTTTTTTACATCTTTATTGGAGTATAATTGCTTTACAATGGTGTGTTAGTTTCTACTTTATAACAAAGTGAAAGTTATACATATACATATGTTCCCATATCTCTTCCCTGTTGCATCTCCCTCCCTCCCACCCTCCCTATCCCACCCCTCTAGGTGGTCACAAAGCACCCAGATGATCTCCCTGTGCTATGCGGCTGCTTCCCACTAGCTATCTACCTTACGTTCTTCTTATAAAGGCGCTAATCCCATCACGAGGGCCGAACCCTCAAGACCCCATCTCAACCTAAGTACCTCCCAAAGGCCCTACCTTCTAATTCCATCACATTGGGAGTTAGGGATTCAACTTATGAATTTGGGGGTGGACACAATTCAATCCATAGCAACTACACAAATCTTTTTTTTTTTTATCTAAACCTTCACTTTAACATTTTTTTTTTTTACTATTTATTCATTTTTGCTGAAGTATTTTAAGGAAGAGATTACCGTGTCACAAAATATATAACCACAATGCTATTTTGTTCCAAACAAAAGTAACGTCTAATAATCAGTCCATATTAAAATTTCCCCGATCCTCTCAAAAAAATGCCTTTTAACAGTTTATTTATCAAATCAGGATCTAGAGAATGTACACACATGTTGCATTTGGTGGTTGTCTTTTAAGTCTTTTAATAAATAACAGTCTCTCCCCCCCATTTTTATGCCATTTATTTGTTTAAAAAGCAGGAGGAAGTGGGGTTGTTTGTCCTATAGAATTCCCAAGTATTGGGTTTAGAGCCTTGCTTCTCTGTTCCTTTATCTATGTATTTCCCTGAAAACTGGTAGTTAAATCTAGACTTGAGTTCAAAACTTTTTATTCGAATATTTCATATGTAATTCCATATATTTCTTATGGCATCACATCAAGAGGCTCATAATTTCTAGTTGCCCCACTTTGATAGACGTTGAGATTGATCAGTGGGTCCTGATGTTGCCAAACTCATCCATCCATTATAAACTTCCCCTTCGACCTTTCACCTTATGGTTTTAGCATCCATTGATGATCTTTGCCTAGATCCATTTTTTCATTAGGATGTTGCAAAACAGTGGTTTCCCGGTTCTACCATTTCTTCTGAATTTAATTACTGGAATTCTTCAATTAAAATGAATAGTCCTTCATCGACTATTTGTAGTTACATACAAAAATAGCATACATATTGATGATTATTTCCCCCTTTCAGTGTTCAGAATAGTGAGTTGGTGCATTGGCAATCTGTCACAGTGACAAATTAGGTGTTGTATATTACCACTTGGAACTCATGGCTATTTTTTTTTTAATCTTTATTATTTATTTATTTGGTGGCACAGGGTCTTAGTTGTGCGAGGCAGGATCCTCAGTTGTGGCATGTGGGCTCCTTAGTTGTGACATGCATGTGGGCTCCAGTTCCCTGATCAGGAATCGAACCCAGGCCCCCTGCATTGGGAGCACGGAGTCTTATCCACTGCGCCACTAGTCATGGCTTTTTATATATTTAATTTGTTTCAATCAATTTGATGTGATGTTAAAATTATCCCACTTTTGGCCTCTTCATATGGATTCCTAAACTTTTGCCCGGCCCCTGGTGGTCTTTGAAGGCCCTCAACTTTCTTGTCCTTCAAGATTCCGAGGCGTACCTTGTGCATTTCTTGGCCCAGCCCTGAAATCAACCAGCTCTTTAAGAATCTCTGTATCTTCTGGTGGGAAATGGTGTTCAGAGGCCACAGGCTAGGCCTCAGGATAGTCACTAAGTCACTGTTATCAAGTTGCCATTGCTTCTAGGCTTTTCAGTGGTCAGACCCAGAAAGTAGAGATTTTCTTTAAAAAAAGAAAGGAAAATAATTAATTGGTACAAACTTATACTTCCAATTCAAGTTTTCAGACCGCAGGGTTTTACTGAAGCTTTTTGTTTCATACGTAAACATCTTTTCTCTCTTCCACTGGAAGTCATGCTTCATGACAACATTAGCATTAGTTACTTACTTGCGTGAACCTGTAACATACATAAGATACTCTCAAAGTAACAGTAGCAACATCACCAACAATAAGGTGCCGGATATAGTTTCAGATTTCTTTGGTTTTTGGTTTTGGGTTTGGTTTTGGAGGAAGGATGTGTTTGTGTGTTGTCTTTGTTCTTAGAAGATATCCCACTCCGAATGTAGGTCAAAATTCTGCATTTTAAAGCCACTTAAGTAATGTTTTGTTGTGTGCGGCTGGGTCACCAACTTGATAGAATTAGGCTCATTTGTCTTAGTTCTCAATTTCGACAGATGTGTTTATTTATGTATTTTTAAATTCTGGAACACATTTACATGGTTGCAAAGTCAAATTATAAAACAAGAAAAATCTCACTTCCGTCCCTGCCCCTCCCCCATAAATTACAGGTGTTTTTAGTTTTATTGAAAACAGACATATATGTGTATGTAAAACTAACGAACTACAAGCACTTTTGTGGTCCCTCTTTTTTAAAAACTAAACAGTACACCCTGAAGACCTCACGCATTTCACGCCTCTCTCTAGCTGTTCGGATGCCCTGTGCCTTATTGAACACTCCCTCGTGGATGGTCACTACAGGTAAGTTTCTAATCTTTTCATTTTACAAACAGTGTTGCAGTGAATGGCTTGTACATATGTCTTTTTGTATTTTTGCCAGTGTATCTTTTTTCTTTTTCTTTTTTTTTTTTTTTTTTGCGGTTCGCGGGACTCTCACTGCTGTGGCCTCTCCCATTGTGGAGCACAGGCTCCAGACGCGCAGGCTCAGCGGCCATGGCTCACGGGCCCAGCCGCTCCGCGGCATGTGGGATCTTCCCGGACCGGGGCAGAACCTGTGTCCCCTGCATCAGCAGGTGGACTCTCAACCGCTGCGTGACCAGGGAAGCCCACCAGTGTATCTTTGGGATAGATCCCTAGAAGTAGAATTGCTGAGCTAAATGGTATAGTGTGTGTCACTTGCTAGTTGCCGTCAGATACCCTGCGTAGGGACTGAAACACCAAAACTGAATTTTAACAACATTCAAAAATGAGTAGGAAGACGCAGCACCCAATCTATCACCCACCTGGTGGCCAGGCCAGCCTCCCGTTGTTCTACCCAAGGGACAGGCCTGGATAGATCTCACGCAGGAACACCCACGTCCTGGGAAGCCTGGAAGGAACCATAAAACTCCATCATCTTCACTTTCGCTGGAATAACAGTTTAACAGGTAGCCCTGTTCACCTCAGGCTGAGCAGGAGCTCTGAGTGGTCTCTTTTGTCTTCTTTGACTGATAAGACACTTAGAAGTTATTTCTTTGCATGCTTGGTTTGGTAGAGAAAATGTTTCAAGGCATGGACCCTAGTGGGGAATTATACCAGATGCTCAGCAAGTGGACATTATTCAATTCATTGGTTTATATGACCCTGGTAATCTTTCTTTACATAAGGAAGGAAAATTAACATGGTTCAGATGCATTCGGTCTCTTACTCATTCGACCAACATGAATTGAACCCCCTCTCTGTCCCCTCTCTACTCCCACCTCTAGGCCAGAAACAAAAACCTGCACAGCCTGCAGGCTGAATCCAGCACACAGTTAGTTGTTTGAGGTTTGGCTCACACTATGTTTTTTGAAAAAAACAAACAAAATTGGTCGCTAACATTTAAAATCAGGGGATTTTACATAAATATCCAGACTTCTAACTTCTCTTGAAAACTTGCCAACCAGCCGCTGGTGGGAGCTGCGGAGCGACTGCCCCCAGTGGTAGGGCATGTGCTGCCCTGTGTCCCTGGTGCCCGCCCAGCCCTTCCATTCATTTCTCTTGCCTCCTGGGTCATGAGTTTGTGAGAACTGCCCTAGACTGCTAGCCCCCTGTAGATAAGAACCTCCTGTGTCTTACTTGACTTTGACTTTACAGCATCTACCCTGGACCCTAGCACACAGGGTCCTCCGTGTATGTTTGTTGGACGATATAAAGTATCTTGTGGATGCATGCATCACATTTCTCCCAATAGTGAAGCTGTGCAATTGTAATACTACTCTAGCCCAGACCTTTGATGCATATTGGCATCACAGGTGCCCCTGAACTGTGCCATCTGTCCCACTACGTAAAGCCACTCGCATAGGCTGCCCCTAAAGTCTTCACTTTGCCATTTGAACTCTTTTCCTCCGAGCGATCTCTTCTCCAGCTGAGGACAACAACGCACGCTTCGTGACCACACGAGATCACGAATGTCAAGCATTCCTCTAGTAGTATTTACTTTTATCACGTTGTTAGCAGTGTTTTATCTCCAACTTGGCAACAGTCTCCCCACTCTTAGTCCATGCGGTTCAGTTTGGTTTTTCAGCCAAGCCCCAAAGAAGAGATTACAGTAGAAATCTCTGTATTCTGAGAATTTTCCAAGTCCACTCCCCACAGACACTGATGGAGGTAAAGATTGTATCGAGTGCTTCGTATTTCTGATCAGATCCATTAATGGCCTAAAGGGGACAATTAGGGCATGTCAGAGCATATATAACTAGGAGCCCTTGGCCAGCACTGCATGCTCAGAACTCACTCTTTCCTGAGTACTTGGACCCAGGAAAGAAGCATGAAGTGGCTTGGGATCCTTGGGCTGGTGGCCCTCTCAGAGTGCCTAGTCATGTAAGTGCGGGGACTGTAAGTGGCATCATCTCTCTTTCTGGGGTCTTCCTTGTCCTCTTATTCTTCCATCCATCAGGCTCAGAAGGGAATGTAATCATTCCCTGACACTCTTGAAGTTCAACTCTCACTTATTGATGAGTACCGTGCCATGGGCAACATGGGGCCCAAGGGTCTTGGGGTAAGCCTGCAGGGCTGCACAACTCTTGGGGTACCGTCACATCATGACCTATGTGAAAATGGCACTCCTTGGGATTGCTCAGTGCACAACCTGTGCAACTGTAAGTGTGGTCCTATGAACAGCATTTCTCCTATATTGGTTTCTGGGACTTCTCTCTGCTCTCTCTCCATTTCTGTGTGTATGTGTCTGTGTCTTCATCTCTGTATCTCTCTCTTTTATCTCTCCATCCTCTTTGGATGTCTCTGTGCATACAGAATTCTCTGAGTTTTCGTTTTTGTTTTCGTTTTGTTTTTCTATTTTGACTCTTCCTTGCTTCTCTAGCTTCTTAATTTCCCTAATTTATTCCCCATCTCCTGGCTTCCTCTCTCACCCCTCTCTTCTGCTGGAGCCCTGGAGAAAGATCTGGAAGGCTACTTCTAGGCTGATTTACCTCTAACAAGCAGTGTGACCACAGCCAAGTCACAAACTCCCTGCATTTCAAATTCCTCCCCTGTAAAAAGAGGGTAATGATCCCCCTTCAGACTCCTTCCCAGAACTTCTTAGAAAAAGATACAGTGGGATGGCAATAGCAATGGGAAGGGCTGTCATTGTGGACACTTCTTACATATCAGGTACATTATATACATCATCTCACTTAATACCCAGAGCATTCTATACGGACGATAGGAGTTATATTCTACCTTTTACCTACCGAGGGGGAAACTGAGACTCCAAATGGTCATATGGCTTACCCAAATTATACAACAGAACCTGTATTCAAACCTAGGTCTTTGTCATGGCCTTTTCATGGCATCCTGATATGAGAGGACACTCATAAAAATGCTTGGAATATACACAGTGCCATTACAATGCAAGGTATGACAGTCGTACTATAACACAGACAGCTGATTGCTGACCCTTCTTTGTTTCCTTTTCCCAATGCTCCGTGAAAGAATCCCGCTAACAAAGATGAAGACCATGCGAGAAACCCTCAGGGAAAAAAACTTGCTGACAAACTTCCTGTTGAAGAACAATGGCAACTGGTCCCAGAATGTTGGCAACAGGTCCCAGAATCTCGCCTATTACCCGAAAATGACTCTTCATCCCCTGAGGAACTACCTGGATGTGAGTGTGTTGGGTGGATGGCACTCTACAGCGCCCCCTGGTGCTCTGGCCTGGCACTGGGGTTCATCTGGAGGCGCCAGGCGGTGTGGTGGGGCTAGGGCTCCTGCAGGAAGCAGAAACACTGGGGAATACGGACCCCATTCCCAGAGAAGAGGGCACTCTCATCCTCAACTCTTGGTCGGTGGTAACTGGGCTCGGCAATGACCAGGTGGCAGGTAAACACCCATTTCTTGCCAAAGATATGCCATTAGTTTGAGGGAGATTGTTCCTCCTGAACTAAGTGAGCCACTGAGTTACAGATGAAAGGTGAGCCGTGTCTGATCGAAAGATAAAGCCAACTGCAAATCAAGATTGAAACCCCAGGCGGACAAAGTTCAGCCTCCGCAGATCCAAGGACACCAGTAAAAAGTTACTGAGCCCCTATGGCCTGTGACGCCATGAAAATCTAACACTATGGTTATTGTTATTGATTTTAAAAAAGGTCTCGTCTCTTCCTCAAGAATGCATAGGACAGCCTGAGCGATAGGCAAAGAGTAAATACATGTCAAATAAAAGGGCCAGCAGCGTGGTGGTGATAGGACATGGTCTGAGTTCAGAGGAGGTGGCCTGGGGTGACCTAGGAGGGCCAACTGGAGAAAGAAACAGGCTGGGCCTTAAAGGGGGGACTGGAGAGCTTCTCAAATGAACGCACCAGGACTCGCCTGCAGGCCAGTGCTTAAGACTCTGCGCTCCCACTGCAGGGGGACCGGGTTCGATCCCTGGTCAGGGAACTAAGAGCCCGCATGGAGGAAAAGAAAGAAAAAAATCAAATGAAGGCACCGGTGTGAGCAGAGGCTGTGAGGTGGGGTGGTTGGAAAGTGATCTCAGGAGACACGGGACACCTCGAGGGAAGCAGTGCTCTGGGAATCGAGGGCGGCCAGGGCAGCCAGGTCTGACCACACCACCCCTCCCCGGCCCCTGTAGCTAGCCTATGTCGGCAACATCACCATTGGAACGCCCCCTCAGCAGTTCAGGGTCGTCTTTGACACTGGCTCAGGTGACCTGTGGGTGCCCTCCATCTACTGCTACAGTCGCCCCTGCCGTGAGTACCTGCCCCCCCGCCCATCTTGTACTCCCCTTCCCACCCCCTTCTCCGTCCTTAGCACCTGACGGACACACATCTCTTGTGTTCGCAGGTACACACAAGCTCTTCAACCCTCACACGTCCACCACCTTCCGGCTCTGGGGCCGGTCCTTCGACCTCACCTATGGCTCCGGGAGGATCATTGGATTTCTTGGCTACGACACTGTTCGGGTAACTGGAAACCAGAAGCCGAGTCAGGGCTGGCCCTGGGAGCAACCGCAGCTTACAAAACAGATGCAGGCCCAACTGGGAGGGCCCGTCTTTCCCAAAGTCCCCTAGTGGCTGGCCGCCCACCCCACAGTGTTGTGTCCCTGGGGAGACAGTGTCCCTGCTGACACACAAACTCCCAGAAGGGCTGACCCAGAGAGTGGCTTGAGGTGTGGATTTGCAGCTCCTTTGCCCATGAGCAGCTCAAGGTTCATTTTGCTGGGAGCAGGGAGAGAGGGGAAAAAAGCACCCACTCTTATATCCTCAGGCTGTGCCAGGTACTTTCACGGTAATAACTCGTTTACTCCTGCAGCAACCCCACATACCAAGTGCTATGATTAGATTAGCTCCACTAGACAGATGAGGGAACCAGGTGCAGAAAGCCAGGGCCTTGCCAAGGTCAGGCATCAGGTAAACGGTGGAGCTGGGCTGGCCAGTCAGGATTCATCAGGTGTGCGGTACTTGGGGAGAGGATAAAACTGATCTTGGGCGGTTGCGGGGAACTGAGGGCTTCGGGAATCCAGACAGGGAAAGCAGGGGGCCACAGATGTGGGAGGGGCCTGATAAATGGGGGTCCACGAGAGGGGGCCTTTGAGAACTTAGTGAAAACTACAGCCTGCATCCCCCAAAGGGCCTGAGTATTCTCTCTCTCTCTCTCACACGCAGACACACATCCCCAAAGCGTGTTTCCCAGGCAGAATTTTCATAAGCACCCTGGCAGCGACATTGTAAAATGGGCTTCTGTCTTTCTGGGCGGATGCAAATTCCACGATGCACTGCGATGAATTCAGTCCATTTCTGTCATCAGATCACAGTGATGGCAAAGAGAAGACTATCCTGCTCTCTACTCATTCTGTCTTCCAGTGGGAACCATTTGGTCCTGTTGAGTCCCTGTTTTTCCACCTGCATAGGAAGCGTGAGGCCAATTTCGCTCACTTCACATGGTGTTTGCAGGATGGGCAGGTGTTGGTTAAAAGCCACAGCCCAGCACAAATGGAACCCAAATTCCAGTCGCAGCTTGGTCTAACTATCTGAGGTCAACACAGGGCACAGCCAGGCCACAGTTCTTCTCTGCGGTGCTCATGGCATCTCCATCCCAGCCCAGTCCCAGCCCCCCTTCCCAAACCTTTATGTGGGAACACTCCCCTCTCCCACAGATCGGGAAACTTATTGACATGGGCCAGCCATTTGGCCTGAGCAAGTTACAGTTTGGGATGGAAGATGCACCCTTTGATGGCATCCTGGGCTTGAGCTACCCCAGCCTCGCCATCCAAGGGACCACCCCCATCTTCGACACCCTGAAGAAACGAAGCCTCATTCCTCAGTCTGTCTTTGCCTTCTACTTGAGCAGGTAAGTCCGAACCGCACAAGCCCTGTCTCTAAGTCAGCTGTAAGATGCTTTCAGTTGCATGAAAAGTTGTAGCCCACCTGATTCAGAAGTTTCCTGAGAGACAGTCTAGCCCGGGATAACTATGGCCCCAGGGCCTCATCTGGCCCTGCCACTGGTTTTTGTAAATAAAGTTTTATGAGAACACAAGCATGCTCATGGGCTCAGGGGCAGCAGCTTGGTCCAGGGGGTGTGAAGGGAAGAGGGAGAGCAGTGGAAGATATCAGGATACAGGTTGGAGGAAAAGGCAACAGGATGTGCTGATGGATTTCATATGGGAGGAAGGATAGGGATGGTGGGAATGTTTCCTCCTCACTAACATTTTACGCGGATCTCAGAAGCAGCTACACAATTCGCAGGTGCCAGCGCGAAATGAAAACGTGGGACCTCTTGTTCAAAAAGTATTAGGAGGGGCTTCCCTGGTGGCGCAGTGGCTGGAGGTCCGCCTGCCGATGCAGGGGACGCGGGTTCGTGCCCTGGTCCGGGAGGATCCCACATGCCACGGAGCGGCTGGGCCCGTGAGCCATGGCCGCTGAGCCTGCGCGTCCAGAGCCTGTGCTCCGCAACGGGAGAGGCCGCAGCAGTGCGAGGCCCGCGTACCGCAAAAAAAAAAAAAAGTATTAGGAATTTCAAGACAGGGATAGCAGAGGCTCAGGGCCCTGCTGAGTGTGAGGCCCCATGGGTGGCACAGGTCACACACGCTGGTGAAGCCAACCCTGGGTGAGCCTGAGCCCACACCCTTGGTGCCCTCGAGCCTCGGCTTTTCTGAACAATGACAGGCAAGGCGAGGGGGCAGCCAGACCCCCCCGGCACGGTGTCCTCTGAGGGTATCTCTGAGCACTTTGGTTGCTGGAGGGGACCGGGCCCTCTTCCGAAGGGTGGGTGGTCGGAGCCCAGCCAGGCTGCCCAGCTTCGAACCCCTTCTGTGCCACTCACTAGTCGGTGACCCACCTCGGACAGGTCCTCAATCCCTCCGGGGCTCAATTTCCGTCTCTGTAAAATGGGGACCCTAATAGTGCCAAGGATGGGTGGAGAAGCACAGCCCTCAGACAGTGCCTGCCGTTATTCTCCTACAACGAGCCCTCCCTCTTTCTTTTCTCCTCAGCCAGAAGGAGAATGGCAGCATTGTGATGTTAGGCGGGGTGGACAACAGCTACCACAAAGGAAAGCTCCAGTGGATACCAGTGTCCCGACCTCACTACTGGCAGATAACCATGAACCGGTAAGCCCCTCCCTCTGAGGGCCCCCCCCAAGTGATGCTCCCACACGTGCACACGGACACATGCAGACACACAAAGAAACGCACAGACGCACAGTCACACACACAGACATACGCTCCACCCCCAAAGACACACGTGTAAGCACACGCACAGGCACACAGA